GAATGCCTCCACGTTGAGCAGAGTGTCCCGCTCGGGTGCGGTCGAGATGATCGTCGGGACGATAGTGGCGTTCTCACTGGCGTAAATCCCACCCAGCAGCGCCGCCGCCGCCTGGACCGTGGCGGGGTCCGCAATGGAACGGGTGGACACGGCTGAAACGTCGTAGGGCGACTGGAACCACGTGGCGCTACCAAAAGTGGCCGCGTCCCCGCTGTACAGCTGCCGAATGTGGGCCCCCATGGCCGTCATCTGCTCCACGCCTCTCTTTGCGATGGCGGTGCAGCTGCTTGCGCCGTTGGGGCTGCACAACTTCTCACGGTTGGGTGTGGCCACCGGAGGCGGACTCACACCGTGGCGATGAGCCACTTGCACCAGCTCCAGCACGTACAGGCCGTTTGCGCCTGTCACGGCAAGGAGCAGGATGGCAACACACCATGCGGTTGTCATTGATTGGTAAGTCATTGTTGGCGGTGGTCGGGTCTGTCGCTGTTTCTACCCTCCACTGGATCAGCTCAAAAGGTCTCTTCAACCTTGTGTCGCACGCGTTGGAAAAAAAACAACGAGGAAAAGCGGGGAAAGGAAGTGACGATGCAGCTGCAGAAATGACAGGAAGAAGACTGCCGCACAAGAGCCAGCCATCACCGACGCGGCAAAAGGAAAAGTTTCCCTTTTTTCTTTTTTTGGTTTGTTTTTTTTTTTTTCATTGAAGTGATTTTCGTCGTGCTAGCCATCAAATTGAATAGATGGTCCAGCGCCTCTGAGTTTGTTCGCCTTGTTTGTTTTTAGTGCGACAACGGCGTCGTTAATGCGCTCTGCTAACTTGTAAAACGGCTCTGCTGCTTTCATTGTGCCGTCCCCACGCAGTGCGGGTGGGTACCCGGCGTCTGTATCTTGCATGATGCGCGGCACAAATGGTATTTCCCCGAGAAATGGCACCCCAAGCTCTTCCGCAGTTGCCTTCACACCGCCGGTGCCAAACAAATTGTGTCTCGTGCCGCACTGACCGCATGCAAAGTAACTCATGTTTTCTACAATGCCCAAAATAGGGGTATTGACGGCAGCAAACATGTCAATTCCTCGTCGAACATCAACCAGGGCAACTCTCTGAGGCGTGGAAAGGATAACCGCGCCTGTCAGAACAACCTCTTGTGTCAGTGTCAAGTGCACATCATTTGTCCCCGGTGGCATATCAATGACGAGGTAGTCCAACTCGTCCCAGTCTGTTTGGAATAACAGGGCTCGGATATATTTGTTTACCATCGGCCCTCGCACTGCGATGGCCTCGTCATACGGCACAACAAGACCCATGCTCATGACCTTGACACCAAAGTTCGTTGGTGGCGCAAATCGGTCACTGCCAGCCACACGATATGTCTCCACCTGTGAGGCATCCACGCTCATCATGGTGGGTATAGAAGGGCCGGTGATGTCCGCATCCACAATACCAACACTGAAGCCCATGTTTTTCAGTGCAAGCGCCACATTGACGGAGCATGTGGATTTTCCCACACCTCCCTTCGCGCTGCAGAGCGTTATGGTTTGCTTAACACCAGGTATAGCTACACGAGAGAAGTTCATTCTTTTACTCTGTTGCAATAAACTCTCTTTTCCCTCGTTTACCACGTGATTTGTTTCCCTCACCCCTTTCTTTTTTTTTTTTTTTGCTTTTGTTCTTGAAGGGAGGGTGTGGGGAGGGTGGTCCTTTTACTTGTCAAAAAAAAAAGGATCCCCTCGGAGAGAGAGGTGTCTCTGACACATAAGTGTGTGGGTGCACGCAATGTGTCAGAGACAAGAAAATGTGGGAAGGCAGGCATTACAAGTTTTTATTGCAGTCAAAGGCCGAGCATGAAGCAGAGGACGTCAATGTATATATTTATATGTACATCCCACGACACAACGGCACATCCACAATCTCATTGGGACAAAGAAACGATTGAAAATAAAATAAATAAATAAATAAAATTTTAATACTCCCAATATCCCTGCGGCACTGGCTGTCAACGTCAACGAAGCTTGCTGAATCCAATGTTTGCCGCGTTCTCACGGAAGCACTGGCGGCATACGTTGAGCTCGTACTTCCGAATAACCGCCTTCTGGTTCGAGCAGATCACGCAGTGGCGAGAGCCCTTGCCCATGCCTATCTTCTGCCGAGAACGCCATTGTTCGAGGTGGCCCATCGTAGCAGGTGACGCTTGCTGGTTTCTTGTGTGTGACTGTGTGCTGGAGAAAGTATTCCCTAAAAATCGCCTACGGGAGTCTTTCCACAACAATGCACAAATTAAAATATATATATATATATATATATATATATATATATATATATATATAAGAAAAAATAAAGTACACAAAAAAAGAAAGTTGTGTGTGCGTGTGTATCTGCATGCATGCAAAGAATACAAACAGTGTAAGATAAAGTGCGTGTTGGAGTTCCGTCCCTCTCGCTCTCATTAGAAGCATTCCATATGGGAGCCCGTGGCACGACACCGCTCCAACTGCAGCTGTGCGTGTCATGTCCTCCCACCCACAACCACCGTCTGTGATTTTAACGGACGAAAAAACATTCGCTTCATTACTTTGGTGCTTCCTTTTGCTGCTGTCTTCCTTCCTCCTGCTAGCGTTGTGGATCTGTCGTGTTCCCCGCCCTTCAGCTGCCCGCCCCCGTCGTCCCTCTCCCACCTTTTCCTTCCTCTTCTTCTGTCGTCGTCATTAGCGAAGCTTCCACTCACGGCAGTCGTGCTGCACCTCCCTCCACTTCAGAAAGATGATGGGAATGGCAATCAACGCGAGTGAGGTGACGAGTACCAGAATCAGCAGTCTCTTGTAGGTCGAGAAGACAAGATACAGCCGCAGCCGCCAGCTCTCCTGCGAGAGCAGAGGACTAAGCCACAAAAACACGTTCGAATTCGGCACGAGGTTCGCCGACCACGCGTGATGCGCCCCCTGCTGATTAACCACGATACCCACAGCGTAGCCCTGAATGTAAGAGAAGGTGCGGCCCAAACCAAAAAGCACACGCGACGGCTGCAGAGCGTGCCCTTGAGTCCTGGACAGTTGTGTAGCGTAGGCCCACCGCTGCCGCATGTTGAAGTCACTCCACCCAAAGCGGTGAACCGCGCCCGGCTGGTACACCCCCCAGTCGTGCGAGGCGGCAGCGCCGTTAAGGGCACTGCTTCCAAGGAAGTAATTCTGCTTCCACGACAACAGATGATTCATGTAAAAACCCAAGGGAATAGCACTCGCACCGTGGAAGGTCAGCACAATGTCAAGAGCCGCGTCCCCTGCAATAATGGCAAAAAAAGGTACCGCTTTTGTGTACGTAGGATCGCCGTCCGCTGAACGACTCGCACGATCCCTATCCAGAGGTCCGCAACTGAAGGAAATGCCATTAGAATTCGCTTCAGCCATGAGCAGTAGAGGGCCGTATGTGCTCGGAACCAGCAGGTCCATGTAGCCGTCTCGATTATAATCTCCGGTACGCAGCAGCAATGGCGATGCCAATGAACTCGTCATGGCAAGACTAATTTGTAGACTTGTGTTAATGCCACAATCGTTCTTCTCATGGAAATAAAATTCCTTTGATGCATTTTCGCTAAAGCCGAAGGGATGGCCGTTACAACATCCTCCATCGGCGCATGGGGGTGACCCCTGTAAATTATTGTAGAAAACTATCCAACCATCAAATAGTGTACATTCCCCAAAAGATACAGATGTCTTTTGAGAAACGCAAAGTGGAAAAACGATGTCAGGCGCCCCATCTCCATTGACGTCCGCAACCGTGGGAAAGCCGTAGCGACGCGCTGGTTTTAATGTCAACAACAATACATGCTTGGAGCGTTCAGGAAAGAATGCATATACGTGCAGTGTGTCACTGTTTATTTCATGGACAGTGTAGAGCAAATCCACGATACAGTCGCCGTCCATGTCATCTGAAATAATACTTAATGGAACAACCTCCCTCACACCCTTCACTCCCTCCACTAATACAAACGGATTGAAGGTGGGTACGACATCTTGTCCAGTGCAATGATCACCCAATGTCGTTTGTGTTGTGGCCTGCATAATCACAAGTGACCCCGTCACGTCCACCAGGGCAATCTCCGGCAGCCCACACCGGCTAAATACAGTCACCAAACTCATTTGAGGTGTCGAAGCAAAAAAACGTGGTACATTTTCACTTGGAATTGCTGTGGGAGGGTCGTCGCGGTGCCGGCCGTTGACAAAATACAAAACACCATCCTCACATTGCACGAGAACGTCCAGCTTCCCATCCCGATTGAAATCCGCAAAGATGGTGCTCACGATAGGGCCCGGGAAGTCCACAGAGCTCCAGCATAACTTGTAGAGGGCGCCGTCTTTGCCACCAGTGACATGTTCATCCGCGTTCCCACGACAGTACCACAAAAGGTTGCTGCGGTTGGCCCAAGTCCCCAAAAGCCCCGTCTTCATCTCATTGTCCCAGTCCGCTGTGGCGGTGACACGGAAAAAAATAGGCGCATCGCCCAAATATGCCGCTGTATTGCTGGTCCATTTTGCCTCCACCACCGGCGCCTGCGCAGTCGAAAGAAGAAGGCCCGCAATCACACTGAGAAGGGCACTAAGCCATGGCATCCTTCGCCGCGCTTCCCTACAAATCCACCGCCACCTCCCAACAACAACAACAAGACCGCCTCCCACGCCCTTTGGTTTGATCTTTTTGTTTGTTTGCTTTTTGTTTTGTTTTTTTGTTGTTGTTGCCGTCCCTCCCCCTCGTCTCTATTTCTTCTGGCACATGAGCCAAAAGCAGCAACAACCAAACAAAAAGAGATCGCAGCAAAAATTTAAAAAAAAAAATTCTTTTCAGTCATTTTTTTTACTTCAAATTCCAAATGGCTTTTCAATACATCACTTCAACCAAAACATCACGCATGCACACACACACAGAGACAGACAGAGAAACGTACCGGTGCGGTGGACAGCGTCGACTGCCGAGCGCACATGGAAGTAGACAAAGAGTGCTAGCAATGGCACGCCGCAAGAACGTTGGCCACCCACCTCGATACAAAACAAAAAACCTCCTCTAGCCCCATTTGACAAATGGGTTCCTTGCACACCAGAGCCCGATGAGAGAGTTGCTCCGCCGTGCGTCGCGTGTGTGGATCGTCACAATGCTTCTGCACATGACTAAAATCTACCAAAATGGAGTCAAAAGCGCCCGCTCCTTCAAGCATCGCCTCTGCAATGCGTCGTTCCACGGGGTAGTGGTCGTGTGGCCAGTCCTCCGAAGTCAGTTTCACAATTCTGTGTCGCTTTGAATGCATCTCCTCCTCCGACGAGGCACACATGGCCATCTCCCTTTCCTCTCGTGCCGCAGGGCTCATCCCACAAAACTGCGAGGGCTTCAGCATAAAACCAGAGCTCATCAGGGGAACAAGAAGATCATGCATGCTTGATATCAGCAAACGATGCTCAAACAGTCCAAGGGAAGCCAAATGCTCGGCAGAAATCAAACGCTCGGTAAGAACATTGGACTGCAAAAGCATGTCATGATACGCCGTAGAGTACACACGTCCTATCAGACGCCCAACATAAGATCTTATAAAAGCATCCATGTGGCGTGTACCCCCATGCGGTGTTGCAATGGAGCAAAACACCTTCCACTCGACCCGTAAACATCCCTCGTGGCGCTGTACCTCCCGAACCAACTGCGGTAACGCCTCCCGAACAATCAACCCACCCATAGAGTGGGAAATAAAACTTAACTGCACAGTCTTCTTCCCGTCTACAAGAGGTGTCATGTGCGTTGCTGGCCCCAAAGACTCCCCCGAGCAAAGTCCGCTGAGAAAACGGACCACCTCCTTTGCGAGACGCGCACCACACACCACAACCCCGTCATCCGTACGAAACCCCTCATTCACTTGCGGTTCCAAAACAATCGGTGGGGAGTCAAGTGCCCGCAAAAATCGTGCAAGGCAGCCCAAGTCACGATGCGTGCCGTGGGAGCCATGCTGCAGGACAACAAGACGGTGCTTCATCCTCACTTGGTCCAGCGTGAAAAAAGAAAAAAATAAACAACATCCATTAATGAATGGACACAAGTCGTTTCCCCCCCTTCTCATGTACACACACACACACAAAAAAAAAAAAAAAAAAAGGGAAAGAGAGTAACGCATCACGCTTCCAAGTCAATTTTTTAATACTCTTTTCCTTTCCATTTCATTGCAGCAGAACAATAAAAATAAAATAAAAATAAATAGGCAGGTATTAAAATACCGATGTATACATGCATACATCTTCTTCAGCTCCTGCAAAAAGCCCAAGGTGCCTCTGTTTTAACATTATTATTATTATTATTCCTGCTTTGTTTTTGTTTTTCTGCTTTTTGAAGATGAGACAAATAAACAACACAAAAAAAGGAACAAAAACTACCAAAAATAAGTGGCTTTAAATCCACGTTACTTTTTCCCCCTCCTCCACTTCCCTCTCTTCTTCTTCGTCTTCCTCGCCGCACAAGCATCCACCACGTACATATAAATATATACGCACACAAACAAAAAAATGCAGAGAGGCGGCCACAAAACAGAATGCGATAAAAGTTCCTTTCAACATTTCTCACAATTACGCGCGAATCACTCTGTCGGTCTCGTTTGACTCCACGAGACACTGCGGGCCCACCGTGCAACTCACAACACGCACCCCAGAATTTACCATCGCCGATGAACCGATAACGGAGTTGGAGATGATCGCACCTGCACCAATTTCAGCATTATCCAAAATGATGCTATTCGTGATACGTACGTCTGGCCCAAGTGTCACGTTGTTGCCAACGATACTACGGGCAATGGTGGCCTTGCACGTCGGCTCGGTGCGCAAAAAACTGTGAATGATATTAATCTGTCTAGAAGTATCAGTCTTGTGTATTGTAAAAGCGGCATTACTCACTAATCCGCTTAGCGCAAAGGCGGAAAAAGGCAATCCCGCAGAATCCGCAGCTGTATTGATAGACTTCCTCTCCATGGAAGTTCGCAAAACCCTCTGAGTTTGTCCCAGTCTCTCTTTTTGCTGAGATGCGCGTGTGCTTCTGCTACTGATTCTCATACTATTCCTTCCATTAACCTCATTCATTTCCAGTAATTGACATTTTGCTGCCAAAATTTCTTGATTCACTGCAATATAATCCTCCCTTGTCCTGACACGGTAAACACGCATGCATTTCTCCGGCCTTTCTTCGTAAATGGTGCAGCATACAAGAAGATTATCCGCCTCTGAGGGCAATACAGGGCCCGGAGAAGCATTAAGGAAATTCACAGAGGAGTCGCTTTCAAGCAACCAGTGCTTTGGAATATTATACTTAATCTTTCCATCTGGACGTAGGAACGTCATCTTATTCTCATTTACTATACTATGCTGACTCCTAGCCAAAAAAGGGATACTATCACGCTGTACCGACATGCCCTTACCCGCAGACTCTGCGATAGCATTTAATGCCCAGTGTCGCACAAGATAGGCATGTGCGTCCATTGTGTCAGAAGTAAAGGTGAGATTTGGTCGACGACCCGCAAATCCCATGCTAATACGAAGTTCTTGTCTCTCTTCATATGGGCACATGAAGTGCAACCTATAACTACAGGCCCCCTTGGTGTCCCCAACGGCCTCACCGTCTTCCCCTAAATTCGTCGTCGAGGCACCGTTGTCATCCTCATCCGTCTCCTCATACGCGGTGCAGGTGTAACGGTATGCATACGGCTTTACAGGAAACCCAGCACCGTGCCCCTTGTTGGTTTTTGCCCCGCCTGAACGATGATGCCTCCGTCGGCGTTGATGAGCGCGTGCCCTTCAGCGGACGAAAACAAAAGAACCGACACCGACGCCACTGAACAGTAAAAATTGCGAATAAAAGGCTCGGGGTCCAATCCGGGCAGAAGTGTGTCGCAGCTGAGAAGCAGGGCATCACGTGCATGACCCAACTTATTCGGCAACAAGGACTCCTTGTGCTTCAAATATGCCTTCACAACGTCACAGGTGGTTGACGGCGCTTCATTCTGCGTGAAGGGCACCAGCACAAAGACAAACTCCACATCCGAAAACTCCCGACGAAGATAACTCTGCAACGCCGCGTAGTCCTCGTTGACGGAAACAAAAAAAGTACGACAGCCGGCGGCGTACCAGGGGTACAGGCAGTACCATATCATGGGCCGATTGCAGATACAAAGCATGGGCTTCGGCTCATTGTTGCACAGTGGGCTGAGACTATCTGCCGTCCCACCCGCAAAAACAACAACATCAAAGAGATGTGACGCCGCTAATGAAGGACTTGCCACGGTAGTCTTAAATTGCATAAATGGCTCCCTTCGCTGTTTTTCTTTTTTTTTTTTGCTTTTGTTTTTTGTTTTAACGGGGACCCTCACTCTCCCTCACCCTCTCCACCTATTATTATTATTAATTATTTTTTTTCTGTTTTGTTTTTCGTTTGTTTGTAATTGCCTCAACGGCTGTTTTTTTTTTTTTTTTTATTTCCTTCCGCCCCTTTTTTATGTGTTTGCTTCACGCCGTCTTCTGGCTCCACCCAAGGATTGGCTAGCCCCACGGACCACAGACACACACACACACCTCCCACGGAGTATTCGCAGAGGCGTTTTTATTGTCGTCGTTGTGGGAAAAGAGGAAGAAAGAACAGAAGGGAGAAAAGTTGCATACGAACCAAAATAAAAATATAAAATAAAAAAAAAAAACACAAAAATAACAAACCCAATATTTGTTTGTTTGTTGTTGTTGTTTTTTTTTTTTTTTTTGGTTTTTTTTTTTTGCATGTGTGTGGTTCTCTCTATCACTTTGTGTGTGTGCGCTGCGCTGCGCTCCTTTTCCTTCCACCGTGGTTCACATTTCATTGTCCCTGCAATGCATGCATACATACATACATACATATATTGCCTGTGCGTTTGTGTATTTAAAAATGTAATTTCCAGCCTATTTTTCCTTTTTTTTTCCTTTTATTTTATCATTGTTGTTGTTGTTTAATTTCTCCTCGCTCCACAGCGGCAGCACCCGTTGGCGCTATTGGCCTTATCACCCCACACGTACAGACACGCTCACAGGTACACATATTTACACGCACACTTCACCCATCCCCCTCGTTTTCCCCTCCCCCTTCTGTCCTCACTCGTTAAACATGTGCGTGCTCCTTACCTTATCCCACCTCCTACCCTAACCCCCCCCGAATTCCCCTTCCCTGTTGCCGCCGCTGCTTCATGACTGCTCTAGGATACTCCTCGCAATGCCGCGGCAGCCGTCTCAGGCGTAGGAGGTGGCGCCATCGTCTCGTCCACTTCCCCTCTTGCCTCCTCTTTGGGTTTATAAACACTTAATGCATGCGAGCACACCTCTACTTCCGCTCGGGTTGGCGGTCGTAGAACTCGTTGCGCGTCTTGACGTCAATCTTGTTGAGCAAAACCTTCGGGAAGGTGCGAAGAAGCTGCCAGCAGAGATCGAGGCTCTGAAACACATCGCGGGACTCGTAGAATCCCTGACAAATAAACTTCTTCTCAAATTTCTCCAAAAACTCCAGGTGAAGGAGATCCTCGCTGCTGAGTGCCTCCTCGCCAACGACCGCCTTCATGGCCAAAATATCCCGACTGATGGCGTACGCAGCATACATTTGGTTGCTGACACCACCATGGTCCTTGCGGGTCATGCCCTCGCCAATGGCATTCTTCATAAGTCGGCTTAAGGATGGTAAAATGTTGATGGGCGGGTACAACTGACGATTATGAAGTTGCCGATCCACGTAAATCTGACCTTCTGTGATGTAACCTGTAAGGTCCGGAATAGGATGCGTGATGTCATCATTGGGCATCGTAAGAATAGGGATCTGCGTGATGGACCCTGCACGTCCCAAAACACGGCCAGCACGCTCGTAGATGCAGGCTAAATCCGTGTACATGTATCCAGGAAAACCGCGTCTCCCGGGGACCTCCTCACGCGCCGCCGATACCTCGCGAAGGGCATCGGCATAGGAACTCATGTCTGTTAGAATAACCAACACATGTTTGCCGCAGTCATACGCAAGGTACTCGGCGGTGGTAAGCGCAAGACGGGGTGTGACGATGCGCTCAATGGTTGGATCATTGGCCAAGTTCATAAAAAGAACTGTTTTTTCCATAGATCCATTTTCCTCAAACTCAGTACGAAAAAATCTTGCTGTCTCCTGGTTCACACCCATGGCTGCAAACACAATGCAGAAATCCTCTTGTTTCCCCTCCTTTCGAACCAAACCGGCCTGACGCACAATCTGGGCAGCAATTTCATTATGAGGAAGACCTGCACCGGAGAAGAGTGGAATCTTCTGTCCTCGTGAAATGGACGTCATGACGTCTATAGACGATATGCCGGTCTGAATCATCTCCTCCGGGTACACACGTGCCCGTGGGTTAATTGGAATGCCCTGAATGTCGCGGTACTGCTCAGGCAATACGGGGGGGCCATTGTCAATAGGAATGCCAGAACCGTTAAAGACACGACCCAACATGTCTTCGCTGACGCCGAGTTCCATTACTTTTCCGGTAAACTCACATTTGGAGCGCATGACATCAATCCCGGATGTTCCCTCGAACACCTGGACAACGGCCTTGTCTCCGTCCACTTCCAACACCTGCCCGCGGCGAAGGGTACCATCGGCTAATTCGATATTCACAATCTCCGCAAACGTCGGTAGACGCACATCACCCAATATGACCAGCGGTCCATTCACAGCGCGAATCGTTGTGTACTCAAGGTGTGGCTTGACAGAGTAACCGCTTTGGATCGCCTTAATGTGCTCCGCCAACAACTCCTGCTTGGAGAGCATACGAACCTCCTCTGCCTCATGCACGCCCATTTCTTTCAGTCGGTGTATGTGTGAACTTTTTTTTTTATTATTATTGTTCTTTCTTTCGTTCGTTCGTTCGTTCCTTTTTGTGTGTGTTTCGTTTTAGGTTCGAACTCTCTTTTTTCTTCTTGTCTCTTTTTTCCTTGTCGGCGTTTTTATTGCGGTTTTGCCTCTCCCCCCTTCACTGTTACCCACACGACGTTCCTCCTCTCCCCTATAAAAGAAAGAAGAAAAAAAAAAACAAAAAAAAAAAAAGAGGGGGTGCACGAAGGGGATATAAATGTGTAATTATTTTATTTATATTTAAATATCCCCGTCGGGCCTTTTCCCCCTTCTCACTACTCCCTCTTCCTTCAGGCACAATGGCAAGTGTGAATGTATGTATATACACCTGCCCCCTTCTCTCTCTCTCTCCCTCTCCCTCTGTGTGTGTGTGTGTGTGTGTGTGTGAAGAGAAGAAAGAAAAAAAGTGCACAAATGGCAGGAACAGACATGAAGCGCAGCCCCAAAAAGTAAATAAAACCAAAGGCACACGCCCCACTTCAATACATATATATATATATTCCGGAAGCTTACCTGCAACACATCTTTCTGCGTGTCCACTGGGAGAGGAGTTCTCCTACACATTTCCCATACGGGCAGAAAAACATATTCACGAAGTGTTCGTAATAATAAGAAAAAAAAAAGAGGAAAACAATCACCACCATCCACATTTATTTCTCCATTCCGTCTTTTTGTTTTGTTTTGTTTTGTTTTGTTTTGTTTTTTGCTTTTTCTCCCTTTGATTTCCCCCTTCTCGCCTTCCTGCTCCTCTCCAGTTTTTACATGGTTTACCAGGCCGCATTGGGCGGCCCATTTCCTTTCGCGTCTCCCTCTTTTTCCCCTCCCCACTTCTTCTCTCCATCGTCATCGTCATTTTTGTTGTTGTCGCTTTTGTTCAGTAATTTCCCGTTGTTTTTTTTTTCTTTTTTTCATTCGTTTCATTTATTGCCCCTTTTATTTCAGATTTATTTCCTGTTTTTTTTATATATTTTTTTTTCTTCGTTTTTGTTTTGTTT